TCACCAAATATCCGCCAGCAACAATACGAGAGAGTGATAGGGTTTGTCTCTCATCTAACAGTCTTGTAACTCACTAACTGATGTTGCAGGCCTATTGCGTTTCATCCGATTAGCGTTATCTTCGAAACTCCCAGCCATGCCTCGCTCTTGGAAAAGGTTGGCGTTAGGGACATGGTATCGGAGGTCATTGACGAGCTGCTTCGTCTAGCTGATGCTAGTGGATGCAAATTTGATCCCGATTTCAAGCAGAAGACGATCGATGAGATGTCCAAAGCTTCCGGAGAGAGCATAATGTGGCAGGATTACGTTGCTCGAAGACCTATGGAGGTTGAGACGTACCTTGGATCGCCTGTCAAACTGGCTAGAGACTCGAATATTCCCCTTCCTCGTATCGAGACACTTTACTCGATTCTTTATAACCTTAACCTGGTCAACCGCAGCAGACCCAAACCTGGCGACCCGAACGCGAATATTATACCACCCGCCTCGCCCTCCGCGGCACCTGTGCCTCGAATGCCTTCACAAAACAGCCATCGACCCATGATGAACGGTATGCCCAACGGAAATGGTATGCCCCCTCGCCAGCCCAGACCTCGGAACTCCTCCAACTTCAGCCAAGGCGGCATGCGCCGTGGACCGCCCCCGATGAACGGTGGACCACCCAATGGTTATAGTCGACCTCCTCCGATGAACGGTCCTGGATCTCGTCAACCTTCAAGGAGAGGCTCGTTAGAGGAGACTAATCTGGAGGAATTCTCTCATCTCGTTCTTTATGATGATATTCCCGAAGGTTCCGAGCCATCCGTTAGTGGTGACCCAGCAGACATTAATCTAAGAGAACGAGAGTTGGCTTTACGGCAGCGTGAAATGGCAATTCGCGAGCAAGAAATCCGAATGCGTCGCGGACCGCCACCTGGCCCTCCCGGAGGCCCCGGACCTCGTCGTGGCCCTCATCCTATGCGCAACAGCAAGCAGGTGTTCGACGAAGACGATGATGACGACGACGATTACTTTGACCCTACTGCCAACCCTGGTCCTCCACTGATCGATCCAGACAATTTCGATATGATGAGCGTTACATCAAGAAAGAACCGAAAGGCTCCAGGACCAAGCCCTGGCCAGTTTCGCCGTAACCCCGATGACATGCCGCCTCCTACACGAGGCGGCCGATTCAGGCCCAATTTCGGCCGCAATCGATCTTCCCAAGTCGGTCACAGCTCCATGACTTCTGAAAACATCCTGGAAGACCCCCTCATGAGCTGCTCCTCGGATCGTTATGGATCCGTTGACCGTGGAGCGATGAACGCAGGCTCTCGAGCAAACTCACTAACAGCGTCAAGGCTTGACGAGATGCAGTACGGCCCAGGTCCCGGTGGACCCCCCGGGATGAATGGTGCCTATCCCCGGCGCGCCAGCCAGTCTCCCGGGAATCCTTATACTCCATCTATGCGAGGCGGTAGCCGACGGGGTTCACCTCCGGGTGGTTACGGTCCAGGCCCAGGCATGAATGGCCGACCATCACCCCCAGATGGGGTTCGCCAACCCGTCCCTCGTCACCCACCTGGTCACGGTAACTCAGTAGCGCCACAGCAAGTTGAACAACATATTGGGGTGAGCGCCCTCCACCAAACTAAGCCTAGGAATGTTCGCAGTCTGACGGGTAGTGCGAGCGCCAGCGCGGGCAGTGGTGAATTTGATTCCGAACAGTCTGCAAACAGCAGTCAAGGCAGCTTGCCTCCACGACCGCCAATCGGTGTGCGTTAGGACGCTCTACACGACGATAATGTTCAACGGAGTACCTAGGACGTCAGGTTCCAACACACGGTCCCATACATGACGTCTGTCCAGCAAGGCTTTGATATTCTTGATTCCGGAGTTCCGGTCATGCATTCTGGATCGCTTAAACGGGATCATCTATTTGTCCCGTCGCGAAGGCCATGTGTACTACATCTGGCTTGAACAATTATACGAAACACCTCGACGAGCACGGCCCTATTTCATTTTGTTTTTATTATACGCCCGAGTTCCATCGAAAACACGAACGACACGACAAAAGTCGCAGTCACTTTGGACTATTCTCAGACACGACGTCTTTTTAATTATTCCTATCGACACAACACGTACATACATTGACCAACCAAACAGAAGTAGTCTATCCTTGGTAATAATGCATTGGAGAATTGGGGAAGATATACTGGTGCCTTTTAGCATATAATTGGCTCTCAATTATTCAAGGCTCTGTTCATGAGACGCCCGAGTCTTGGTTCTGCTTTGACATATTGGGACAGCCTCGCGCAAGGAAGAGAATTTCGGAGAACCCCAAGCCCGCCTCACAGAAGACAGGTTGGGACTGAATAATGAATACGCCGGTGGAAAAACGAGGAAGTGGGTGGGTTAAGGCCAAAGGCATTGTGCCAGCTGAGAGCAAGTCTTTGTTTTCCTTTGACTGTTGCGCCCTCCAGAAGTTTGCGTGGACATGTCATGAAAGGTCAAACGGACTTAACAAATGAGGAGGGATCATGATAGGCATTGTTTTGTTGGCGGGGGTTACACATTCAAATTAGACTACGGATGGTTGTTTCTTTTTCTGGTTAAATCTGTTCATCGCGAGACGTTGTGGAATGTGAATAGGAAAGCCATCCACGGCATTGGGAGCATTCCTATTGGAAATATATAGATACGAAATAGTAGTATGGAAGAGAAAGGTGATGAAATGGGCCAAAGATTTCTGCGACGCGTTTGAGGAACCATTGATATCATAAGCCGAATTATCTATTGACCTGAAGGAGAAGCCAGAGGCGGCCTGGTGGTCAACAATACCCATTGCCCAATTCTCCTAGCATCCGGCAGAGACACTTTACTACCGTATACCTCAACTCAGTATGCCAACAATAGCGTGGCCATCATAGCTGAGAAAACAGCCATAGGTACATAGCCAGTTGTTCTTGTGCCATCGTTAGGATCCTCGCTACCTCCAGTGATGTTCCTGGTGCGCAGGCACAACAGCGAAGGCTGTAAAACATCATCCAGGCTATATGTGTCGGGGTCACGACGACCCCAGTTGATCATCACAGTCCAGACACCACGCACAGCATAGTCATATGCCTCCTCTTGGGTCATTGCACTGTATTTTCCAGCCGTTTGTGGGCGTTGGCTGATCAAGGTCTTTCCGCTTCCGAATTGACTCAGATTCGCCCCAGCTACATCGCGGGTCAGCGTCCTTCTGCTCGAACAGGTTGTGAAGCTATACTTACGAACTCCGCCATACGTCGGGCCGTAGTCTTTGTAATACTTCTCACACTTAACTGGCATATGTGGCAACATTGTGCACTCCTCGCCGTTCCAGTAATATCCAGCCGCTTCTGTGTTCAAGGCCTCTAGGCAATCTTCGTCAAGGAACGAGCTGCAGTCTCCATCGTCGTGTTGTGCATCGTCGGTTGCTTTATCCTTCAGGCGACTTGGTCCCCAGAAAGCAACACACACATGCCAGTCTGAAGAGTTTGTACGACTGCTATTCAACGCTGGAACTCTCATTCCCTCTGGTGCTTGAACGCTGATGTCGATGCCGGGATAAGGTGTATCGTCCCCAGGGTCGTCCGTAATATTGGCTACGCGAATGGTTGCCGTCCATCCATCAACGGTTTTGTTTGGCGGGAATCTTTCCGATACATTATACGCCTCAAATTTATATGTCCCCGTTGCGTTGGGGTTCTCGAAAGCAGATTGCCATGCTTGCTCGCTCATGTTACCAGGGCTTCCACCCGTCCCGTATCCACCATCAAATGCGATGGCCGAGGAGGCCAAAGCAAAGACTCGGAGAGCTACTTTCATATTCGAAGACGGAAGCAAGGATGACACAACAAATTAAGTCTCAATTAAGCTTAAAATCAACTCAACCTGCTTGTGTGTGGGGGGCTTGATGTCTAGATATAGATAGATAGGTAGGTATGTATTCCGATCTGCGCTTGTCTCTAGAAGGATTTATCTAGTCGACACTGACTGAGCCTTGGCTACTCAATATCCTAATAGGCCCATACTACACAGCGGCCAGATCATCTGGCCATTTACGTACAGTTGGCGAACCACGATCCTCTGATCTGCAGTCAATTCCTTCGCGCCGTAGACACGCTGCACTGACCAAGTCGTTGTTGGCAGTGATGACGTCGAAGGAACAAATGAAGTAGGATATTAGACCACTGCCTAGGAATACAGCTGAAAGGTACATGGGGGCTTTGTCGATCGCAGTCCTCTTCTAGGCCGTTAGGCAGACATTATTCGCTCCTTGGTGTAGAAATCCCTGAGTATTTGAGCATTCAGTTGTCAGCCTACAGTCAACAAGGATCTTCTGGTGAAGGCCAACAGGGCTGTAAGACACCCTTTACTTGATCCGGAGTATAAAGCATAATCACTACATCTGATGAATGTCATCAGATCCGTGACTCCGTGCAAGAAGGAAAGACTGGAGATGGATGGATAAGCGCAGTTGAATAGGTGATGATTCAGTGTTGGCCCTTGGATACTGTAGGTAAGCTGTTGTTCGAATGCTGAAACAGACTGCTTCATACATATTGCTGAACCAATCAATGGTTGTTAAACGCACGGGCCATTCTGGTGCTAGTACCTAGGTACCTCTGTACATCCCGGTCGTAAACAAACCCCAAATCACTGCCTTTCCCCAGGTATGTTCTTTTAAGGTACCTACCTACCCTACCAACCTTGAGCATCTGCAAGTACCTAGAGTAGTAGGTATTTCAGGCAAGGTCAGGCAAGGTCAGGCAAGATCAGCATAATTTCATCTCCAGAAGACTGCCTCGAATACACAATCATACAACAAAAGAAGCCGTTGATCCTTTTCTCACTCCCGAGTATTCCTTCTTCTGAACTCTAGGTGGCGTGCGATCCTTCACCTACTGGTATAAGTGAGGGCATCTCGTCTTCACTGGTTCACGAGTAGATTCGAAGTTAGGGAGAAAAATCACCACATCAAATCCAACAAAGCAATGGCGACGCGAAATGTGAGCGGTTCACAGGTGCGGCAGAGCATGGCCACTAGTGGAAGTGCTGTCAAGACACGACAACTCGTGAGTTCCCTCAACCCTTTTCCCGTCAATGGCAGTTATCAATCATCTCCTTGCGCGTGATAACTTCAAGGATTCGGAGTACAGAGCGGCCCTGTTTTAAATGAAAACGGCATTTGACAATGATCTCTGACTTGACCCAGGCACAACTAAATTCTCAACTCGCACAGTTGTCATCAAATCTGTCCGACACCGAGAACTTGCTACGGATGACAAGTGTCCAAGCAGAAGCTATGCGTGGACTTGGTAGTTGGCATGGAGGTTTGTAAGTATTTTCAACTCGGCAGATGGTGGTCGTGTATGTAGGGAGCAGTCGCTGACTTGATGGATAGGTTCATGGCAGCAAGCAAGGTCTTGGGCGAGGAAAGTGTCAAAGAGGCTGGGCAGCCAGGAAAATAGCAATCAAACAACCAATCTGGAAGTGACAGAAAAGTGATGTTTTGACAAGGGATGGCGAAAATGCAGCATGAGTTATGTTCCATTAGGCGTACCGCAAATTGCTCTCAAACCGCTTTTGTCAAAAAGAATCCCCTCAGCAAGAGATTATGCTTCCAGCTGACTGATATGCCATAGCCAGGCAAAGTTTTGCATTTAATATCTTCATAACGTCCACCGGTGCTCCCGCCCTCCTTCTTCAGGTCGGGCGGCTTCCTAAAGGCCCTAGTCTGTTGTCTACTGTCAGCATAAAAATATGCTGTAAGAGGGTGGCAACCTCCAGCTGGAAAGCTTGAGCTGCGATGTAGATAACGGAGAACACATATGTTTGAGTGCAGCGGAAACAGTGCAGTTTCGATGGTCGATCATGTTCTAAGCCAAGACTCAAGCAGCCTTTCCAGTCTCTGACTCAATGTGTTTCTCTGGAAACAACTTAAGTCGGGCATTGTCTTTGAGCACGACGTCGGTCTATTTGCTTCTTGAACGGCTTTGGCTTCCTCTTGTTTCCTTCAAGGTCCTGGCGTCTGGCCTGGTGTCGAGATGGGCGTTTCGTGTGGTGTTGTCGGGGCAGTCGGCCCCTGTGCCTTCGATTCATTGCTGCTATGTTCTGTGCTTTTCTTGTGATCAAGCTTTCGCATGTGCTTCCGCTTTTGTCTCGGGGCACAGACCGGGTATCTCTTAACATTACCACAAGTCTTGCAGTTGATATTTAAAATATCAGCCCATGGCTTTCGCCCTCCTTTGCTCGCATTCTCCACAGTTGATGTACAGGTGTCACCCTCGACTAGTAGAGTGTCGCAAAACTTGCAAATAGTTTGCTTCATAGCCGGGCTTCGCCGTATTTGTGCTTTGAGAGTCACGGATCGCAGGTCTGATATGGCCTGACGAGACATGTTCTTCAGTGCTCTTTCCTCGTTTCTTGTTTGGAGGGAAACACTACGCCCATGGCTCGGGGTTGATGATTTTGCTGCAGCATTTTGCACAGTCGAGGACTGTTTAGTAAGATATGAGGCAGCTTGATAGAGGTACGATGCTCTAGAGTAGATGATGCGGTTCTGGACGCCTTTTGGTTCCTTGCCTTTCGCCATTGGAACTTCTGAAATATGGCGAATTTTTGCTGGTTATCAAAATATGAAGTAGTTGAGTCTTACCTCATGTTACCTACCTATACCTGAGGATGCTACATACTACCCTATACCAGTGCCCAGAGATATCTAGCACTGTATTTGAGTCACGTGACTGAGCTTCGCACGGGCCTCCTTAGCCAGCGGCGACCTTGTTTGCTCCCGCCTGCTTCTGGCACCTCCCTTCTCAGCCTCAACAAAGACTCTTTCAAGCCATCCTTGGAACGAGTATCCTGGTTCCCAACACCTCTCCTCATTCCACATCTTGAAAAATCGTTTGATTCTCATTATTTTATCTTGACGGCACGCCTTCGCCACGTTTTCGACACCCTAAGGCGACGCGACTTGAACGTAATCGCGTCAGACTCGTCATCACAACTTCGCTGCAAAGAACAGCTTCTGCAATAGCTTCCGCATCTACCATCTAACTACCTGTAAATCTCGGTCAACATGTCTCACGAGGAAGATCTCATCGATTACTCCGATGAGGAGATCGGTGGCAACGAAACCACTGCGACCACCTCCAACGGCAAGAAGGGCGAGCTTGCTGCCGGCAACAATGTCGACAAGAAGGGCAGCTACGTCGGCATTCATTCCACCGGTTTCCGCGATTTCCTTTTGAAGGCTGAGTTGATTCGCGCCATCGGCGACTGCGGTTTCGAACATCCATCGGAGGGTCAGTCTTGATATTTTAATACCCTAAGTCATCATATCCCCTCCCTTCAAGCGTTCGTCCATCTCGCAAGCAAGAACAAATGGCCACTTTTTTTTCGCAATCGTCGTTTTCGTCATCGTCGGCGCGGTCAAGGCTGGATCTGAGAGATGGTCCATATCCGAGCGGACAAAGACCACGGGTGAGAGACGTGGTACTCCGCAAAACCACAACATTGTTGTCAAATTTATCACGCGTAAGCGAATAATATGTCAATCGTTGTTGCAAACGGATTCTTCTGGTATATAAGAGGGCAAAACGAGGAAAACGCGAGACACCAAGACACTTCTTGGTGCTCCTAGGCTATGGTTGCTTGTGCAACCAACCGGCCTGTGAGCCCTTACCTCGCGTCGATATCAAACTCTTCCAAATCCATATCAATGGAAAATGCGAGTAATGGCTAAGCTGCGACGATGGACGGACACTTGAGATTACACCCGTCGTTCGTTGCTTCTTAGAAACCCACTCTAACATCGGTTCGATCGACAGTTCAACAAACCTGTATCCCCCAGGCACTCCTCGGTGGTGATATCATCTGCCAGGCCAAGTCTGGTCTAGGAAAGACAGCAGTCTTTGTTCTCGCTACCCTTCAGCAGGTCGAGCCTGTGAACGGAGAGGTCTCCGTCGTTGTTATGTGCCACACCCGAGAGCTGGCTTACCAGATCCGTGACGAGTACAACCGCTTCAGCAAGTACATGCCCGATATTAAGACCGGTGTGTTCTACGGTGGAACTCCCATCAAGACCGACATAGAGACACTCAAGAACAAGGACACTTGCCCTCACATCATCGTGGGTACTCCTGGACGTCTCAAGGCCCTCGTTCGTGACAAGGCCCTACGTCTAGGCAGTGTCCGCATCTTCGTGCTTGATGAGTGCGACAAGATGCTTGATCAGCCTGGTGAGTCTCGCTCATGCAACCAAATTTTAACGTACGCTAATGGCTTCAGATATGCGCACGGATGTGCAAGATGTTTTCCGCGCTACACCTCCTCAGAAGCAGGTTATGATGTTCTCGGCCACCTTGTCCGAGGAAGTGAAACCTATTTGCCGAAAGTTCATGCAGAACCCGACCGAGCACTACGTCGATGAGGACACTAAGCTCACTCTCCACGGTCTTCAGCAGTTCTACATCAAGCTGGAAGAAAAGGAGAAGAATCGTAAGCTCAACGAGCTCTTGGATGAACTCCAGTTCAACCAGGTCATTATTTTCGTCCGTAGCACTGTTCGTGCCACTGAGCTTGACAAGCTCCTCAGAGAGTGTAACTTTCCTTCCATTGCCGTCCACTCTGGCGTCAGTCAGGAAGAACGGTGAGTTACCAAGTCATTTAATGTTGTGCTTGCTTCTAACATTATCTAGTATTCGTCGCTACAAGGAGTTCAAGGAGTTCAAGAAGAGAATTTGCGTTGCTACTGATGTCTTTGGACGAGGTATCGATATTGAGCGAATCAACCTCGCCATCAACTACGACTTATCCAACGATGCCAGCTCCTACCTGCACCGTGTCGGTCGTGCAGGACGATTCGGTACCAAGGGATTGGCCATCTCGTTCGTCAGCACCGACCAAGACCAAGAGGTGCTTAAGGAGATCGAGAAGCGGTTCGAAGTCGCCCTTCCGTATGTTGCTTCCCTTCTTTTCTCTCCATTGTCACAATGACTAACAGTATCCAGTGAATTCCCCAAGGAGGGTGTCGATGCCAGCACTTACATGGCCTCTTAAAGGACTGGATGAGACGGTGGTTCACATTGCAACAAATGGCGAACGCCTTGCGCTGCCGTAGGCCGCTGATGAGAAGCTAGGAAATTGGTGTTGAAAGACTGAGGCGGCGAAGGGCAAAAGTTGCAAACGATTTCATCTTGGTCAATTGTATTCGTTAATTTTTTTTTTTTTCAATGGATTCGTATTACGATGCTCGTGTTTTATAAGTAGCCTAGGCTGTTCCCTGGCTGAAAAGTGTGTCACTTGCCCACATATTGCGAACGCCAACGACCTGCAGATTTAGCTACACTATAGGTCTCGCGTAACTCCTATGCCTTGAAGTTGACTCACTTGTTTTGACTTGTAGCCTCACTGCAGTGATCAGGTGGTTCAACACATATTCGTAACTTGGCCATGTTTGTGACTGGGATACGGGAACTGAGATGTGATGCCCCTCGTCGGCGTAAGTAAGTTCAGCCAATTGACTTTACAGGTAAGTTCGATGTCATTTCCAGTCTACCGCGCTGATACGTAGAGTAAAGGGGAAGCGCAGCATGGTGGCGTATACTGAGAGCTGCCTGTAACAACTTCTTTGCTACAATCAAAATCCTCGTGACATGAGCCGTGTATTCTCGTCGACTTTCAACTTTCCCGTGGTGTTTACAGTGGCAGTATACGAACCGCAAAGTCAGTGGCTGTCCTGATGGCAATTCGTCCTCCACAGGTCAATAGTACAGACAGGCCATACTCGTGACAGCCTGACTGGTTCGGCGACATGCCTATCAGACTCAGCTTGTCTCTATCATACTCGAGATCATTCACTCATCACTGCTTTTCCCGTGAATGTCCTATTAAGATCAACGGCTCAGCTTACTTGTGGGGTATAATCGCGATCCCCTCTACCCTTGTATGCGTTCGGCTACATCATGTATCTCAGGTGCCCAGAGAACATTCGACAGGTTTCGATAAGACCCCCATTTCCAAGTCACCCTTGAGATGCAAGTCATTAAGCTCGTGGCTTGACAAGGGGAGCGATATCGGCTTCCGACTACATATAGAGTAGTTGGTAACACAGTTCAGGCGCTTCTTGTGGCCTCTTGGACAATGCCTCTGGATAAGCCGGTATTCAGGATTCGGCACAACAAAGTACGATGCGACTTGCCTCTTTAACTTAAATGGCAGGCCGAAGCACATTTGATTAGATATGCACAGGGTGTGGCCAGGACATGCTGCGAGGCCAAGACGGGTTGGAGACATGGACGTAGCTAAAGGTAGGCAGCCACGTTCTCAAGCATGGAGATTGTCTATCTAAGCGCGTTCGAACTCTGACGGTCCAGGAGTCGAGGGCATGGGTCAAGCAAGGGTTTTGTTAAGGGACTGGGAAGAAATGTGTTTTTCGGCCACTACAGTAATTACGGAACATATTGGCAACTTTGAATACGTAGGCTGTGATAGGACCTCGCAAAGCACCGCATGGTCGTAACCATACACTGCCATACGCACGTAGTTTCTTCTCCGTGGAGCAGTCGAGGCCCCGAAGTTCCCGGACCGGGGGCCGGGATGTGGAGGACAAGCTTGGCAAAGAGTTCACTCACTGATCGAGGACTTGGTAATTGGGCGGTATCTAGGCTACTAGGACGACACGAACAGAGAGAAGGTGACTGTATTCGGTAAATCCCATTGTTTCTGTAATAAACCTTGGGTCCCGTGAGGGGCTTCTTCCTGCGGTGCGTCATGGCATCTGTACTCAGCATCCAACCGAAGCTGAGGCCCAGGCGGCGGTGCAACCTACACGCAAGCTGAACTACTTCGCCCTTCACAAGAATAGAAGAGTCCTGTGGGGCAAGCGATGTGACTAGGCAACCCCAGCCCAGGCATGCTAAAACACTCTTTTTGTCTAGGGTAGGGCCGCCTATGTTTCCAGATGTGACGCGAGACATTATACATATATCCTATTAATGACCTAGGTACTGTATGCAGTCTCATGAGACGTTGGTGGTCTCAGGAGGCAACCCAGTGCTTCTTTGCGGTTCTCGAGCTTATTATGGGTGTTACTGTGGTGTTCATTTGATGATTTGAAAGAACAGGACTGACAGAACTGAGTCACAGACAATGGACCAACCACAACGTCCATGGGTGAGGAGGGATGTGGAGCTTCGGTCGTCAAGAGTTCGCAGCCTCCATCAGACACAGAAAAGGTGTGCGTTGAGATAATTGTACTGTGATCACATTATAGACCGGAGCACGATGCTCGTGGCGAGCCCTGGTTAATCATCATAGCGATGTTACTATGTAAGTGATGGATGTCGGAAAAGTTCAGATTGCTACTATACTGCAATGCATGAACAAGTTACCTGAGAGCAATGAGCCATGTCCATGTCCGCCCGGATCTGTTAAGGATCCGGTGACCGAACGGGTCCCGCTTCTGAGCCGAGGACACTGCTGAGGTAATGATTCGTACAGGCTCCATGATGCGCAATGAGACGAACAAAACACAACATGTAAGTGGAGTGTCGTACGGCGGACCATAGAGCTCGGTACGTGCAATTTTGAGTCGGGACTTCTGGCAAATAACAAAGAAATTGGAATATGTTAAGGGGCTGGTAGCGCGCCACCACTTGGTGGGCGCACGAGCCGGATGAAGGAGCATTCATCACGTCCGGAACACCGAGTACGTACGTGACTGACTGGAAAGAGGATCATGTTTCACCATCAGCAGATACATCTCAGAGGAGAAGAAGTACCCGAAGAAATGAAGGAGCCCACGCCCACGCTCACGATGTGCAGCTGATGAGGAGTTGTGTAAGCACCTGTGGGACCAGAATCATGATGGCGGTGTCTGTAATCAGCCTTCTCATGATGGGCTAAAATGAAGAGAACACCAGTCACTGCACAGATGGAACGAGAGAGATTGTTCGAGGTAGCACACGTTGTAACAGTATTTTCACAAAGAAGCCAGTAATTTCGATGACCAAACTCATCAAGCTTAGCTTGCTGAGATGACCGAGTCAACTACTCGGCCAATGTCCCAAGCAACCGTAGCCCAACAAGGCTTGGGAACCCAAGGTTAACACAAACAGAAGGACATAATTCCTCTCGACACCACATTGGCCACTTTATGATCACGTCAAAGCAAATGTTTTGTGCTGCATGATAACCTTTGAGGCTTGTGCTTCTGCAGTGGGCAACAAACCGAGTTGCGGAGTCACGATGTTGGTGTTGGATCACTAATTACCTACTAACTGAAGCCTTGTATTTGAGGCATAGCACCTACCTAGGATGACTGCATCGGGGCCGTTCAAAGGACTTTAGGTTGTTGTGGGATGGCTATAGTCCCCGTAGATGTCCGATCAACAAAAGCCCTGAGGTAATGGCGAGACCTTCTACAGTACATCATGCGTGAGGGTGAGGGGAACAGGAGCCTTGAATCAATTACCCGTGACAAAGGCCAAATACGGTAAAGGCCAGAGGCGACACCGGACTTGAACATGCGCTCAATGACTGTGATGCGACTGGGAATTACCCAGGTAGAACTTTAGAATTTGTCAATATCGTAAATGCCTCTCGTTACGATAGGCGTGCCACCGTGGCAAGATACTATGTACATACATAGCGTTTTTATTATTATCGATGCTGACGAAAGTAAACAGACGTCAAGTTTTTGAAGAAGAGATCTCGGATTCTGCCAACAGACTTCATGTTTGGAGGCGAGACAAATCCAGACCAATTATTCCCACCCACATGTTTATACAATCGATTCTCTCGAGATTCGTGTGAGACAGGATTCTTTCCATTGGGCAGATTGTTCAGCTTTCATTGAATGCTTCTGCGAAGGAAGCTAGTTATAACGCAGCTTCGAAAGGCTGAGAGAACGATGACCGGGCAACATCTTGGCGATAAGTATTAATCCGTACGTTTGCCAAGTGAGAACCGAACACCCCCTCTCTTGGCTATCTTGTAACCATCATCATGAAATGTACCAGATTTACCAATGCTCATGAAGTGGTGGCGGACAAGACGGAGGTGTGCACTATCAAGAGCTGAGGAGAAGAGTCTTCACACACTCAAGCCAGGTTTTGGAGGGCTATGCTCCCACCCCAAAAAGGTAAAGGGTTAAAGCGAAGCACTGGCTGTGAAGATTCAACTCAATAGCATTTAATTGAGTATCATGGCCAGGTATCAGCAGCGGTCGGGTGTTTCTCAGCAAAGCGTAAGGTTTCATTATGTGTGAGGCCAAGAGTCCGGAAGTTCATATATACCTAACTAAGGGGCAACCGTGTAACAACTGACTGATCCCAGGAGAAGATGACGAGAGGATGGCTTCTTCAATTTCGAGCCAGGCAGTCGACAACTCAGTCGACAGTCAAGCAACCAGAAAGGGTTGGTACGGTGACCAGGGTAGTCGGGACGGCAGGGATACGCGAGACGCACGAACCTGGCTGGCGTGCTAACCAAGTGAAGTGTTCAAAGATGAGGTGAGTCAAATCCAAGTCGTTGGTCATCGTCACGGAGCTCGGTACCTACCTGGCTGGCTACATAGCAATAACCTGACGAAAGCTGCAGCAGAACAGAGCACCATTCCATTACTGACAAGGCTCCATTCGAGTTCATGATGATTGCATGAAGGAAGACCTGCGTCGTGCTTGTTCTCATGTGAGGCCCATTTAGCAGGTAGAGACCAATGTTAGACATAGGTAGATAGATACAGCGATATGTACATACGGCAGGCCTCTTAAAACTTAACGATGATGACAAGTCAACCTCATCTTCTCCTCACCGTACGTGGACTTTCGATGCCAGGGAAACAGAAATCCGTGGATGCCTTGAGGCCTTGATCAAGACTCAAAGTCCGGGAGGTGGAGGTGGATGGCGCCGTGGAAAGGGTGGATGGTGGAGGGGAAGGAAACGCGCTGTTAAATATCGAGGACCAATAAGGCGACGCCAAAAGGCAGACACGCTTTTAGGCCCATCGTGGAAGGCCACGCATGTACAGAATGCGCGATCTATGCACAGTATCGCAC